TGCCAGAAGATTAGTGGTGTCACAAGAGAGTAACAAACATGAAAAAGAAGAAGGGGAGATAAGGATGATAAATGTTTCATAGGAAAGAAGAAGCAAACCACACCAGAGCACCCGCCAACCACCCACACTGATATGTCAGCAGCCACGGCAGTCTCTAGAAAATGAAAAAAAACTTACCATTATCATGGATAAAACATGAGCAGCAAGCACAGCGTAACATCCGCCGGCCGCCCCAGCCAGACCATAATAACGATCACAGACACTGTGACCTAGAGACGCTGCACATGAGAAATAAAATGTTTTCGTTTTAGTAAGATTTTTACGGCATTTGCAACACAATAAGGTCATAATAATATAAGCGCCAAAGATAAGAGGTGTTACAAAAGAGTTAGTAATAAACAGAAAAAAGAAGAAGGGGCGATAAGGACGGTAGATGTTTGCATCGATGGGAAAGAAGAAGCAAACCACACCAGAGCACCCGCCAACCACCCACTGAGAAATAAAATGGGAAAGATGTGTTATCGGGTAATGTCAATAAGCTTGAAGAATACATGTCACAGACACTGAAAAACTTACAATTAAGTAAAAATTCAAAGAAAGAATGATTATATTCCCAACACAAAAGTGTGCAAGTAAAGACACACACAAACATAAACACACACACATGCACACACAAATATGCACACACACACAGACACACACACACACACACACACACACACACACACACATACAAATACACACACACACACATGGCCAAGTACACACACCCACACATGCACATACATACACATATACACACGCACACACACACACAAACGCACGCACGCACATATGTACGTAAGTGCACACACACATACACACACACATAACACATCATAACACATACATACATCACCACCGTCTATCTGTCTGTCTTACTTTCTGTCTTTTCTTTACATATGAAACCATATAACCAAATGCTCACATGCAGTTTTTGGCCTTTATAAAGGCAAGGTGTTCATGTTTCAGAACCCCCAAATGAAATGGCATTTTATCTTGAATACAATATGTTAATAGGCATGCTTGCTATCTTTCCCACAACAAAGGAATTTATTCACCTTTTCAATATCACCTAGTACTGCATACATGTACTTTTTTTCTTTTCTGGTCTATCTGCCAGTCTAGCAAAATGTTTTATTGTTTTTCTGATGGTCCAAATGATGCTGTAAACAAGTGAACAAGTGTATGCATGTGTGTGAGTGTGTGCATATATTGGTATGTGTGTGCGTATGTATCTATGCGCTTATCTGAAAGAAAATGAAAAAGAGAGAGAGAGAGAGAGAGAGAGAGAGAGAGAGAGAGAGAGAGAGAG